GAGTTACCAGGATAACCTCGAGGACCGACCATTCCCTTGAGTCCTGGTGGCCCGACGGGACCTTTTTCACCTCGTGTACCTTCTGCTCCCGGAGGACCCTGCTCACCGTCCTTTCCAGGCTCGCCCAATGGACCCATTGGTCCAGGTGGTCCAGCGATTCCGTCACTTCCTGGACGTCCACTATCTCCTTGTGGTCCCTCCTCTCCAGGCAATCCTTGCGGTCCAGGCTGGCCAGGATATCCTGCAAAAGAACGGTTCAGCCACGGCTGACAGTTATCAAAAGAAAAGATGTGTTACCTAATGGTCCTTTTGGTCCTGGTGGACAGACACGGCAACCACTGGCGCTTACTTGCACCTGAGGTACGATTCCTGGGAGGCCGGGCTCTCCTGGCGTACCTGGCTCGCCAGGAATACCGTCCATACCGTCAATACCAGGGCGACCTTTTTCTCCTGGGGGACAGGTGTTTTCTGCGTTGCACACTGCAAGTTCGATATCAGGCAATAGTTCATTATTTACAACACACTCTCCTAAGAAATTCCAAACCAGGTAACGTAAATAAGGTGAAATCAGCTCAATTTTTTGAAGAATAATGCTAAAGGTGCTCAGCTCCCTTTCCAAAGGACTTAAGTGGGTGAATAATGAATAGAATAGCGAGACTTGCCTAAGAAAGCTTATTTTTGCGGCTGTTCTGAGCAAACGCGCTGAATAACTCTAGAATAGTACATACGCCCGTCCTCAGGGCCATAAATGGCTCTTTTCCTTTCTGAGGATCCCCGATCCCAGATTTAGTTCAGGTGAAAACCTTTTCTGGTATGCAACTGGATCAAAGTAAAAGTGTAGGAAAGGATCCAACAACAAAAGCAAATGCTCCGTCGTGTGAGCTATGGTCTGTGAGCTTACCCATACCCTCTACTTGAGTGGGACATTAACGGTCTAGTTCTGGTGAGTAACCCAGACCTCGGCTCTGGTCCTTTATGCCCCAGTAACTCGTTTTCCTTTGGAGCTGGATACTTTGAATAACACTCAATCAAATATGGGGTCAGTCAGGATCAGCTGAGCAGAGCTAGGTCCGGACACTGGCTTCGGCTAGTTTTCCTTACCGCATTCAGCATCAGCTTGACGTTTGACTTTAGGGACTGGAGATTCGTTCTTTGCATGCTGGAGATCACTCCAAATCTCCGTCTGAAAGCGTCCAATGAGAAATTGAGACTCGATAAATCAAAGGTAAGTTAGACCCGCAAACAACTACATTACCCACCTGCATTACATTGAACTCATTCATATTCTTTGATAGTCGGTCCTGGATAGATTGTACTTTCGATAGAAATATCGGAATATAGAATACGGTAACAAGAACGCATACTGTTGACAGTCCAATAGCTGCGTAAGCAGCTGCTTGTGCTGAACCCATCGTAGCTAACTGAAAAGCTGAACTTGGGGCAAAGCAATTCTCACCGCCCAAACCCCGCCCATTTCGCGAAAAGACTGGAAATGAACGGCAGCAAGTACATGACGAACCGCAGTTATCTATCAACTTGGCCGGTTCGCTACGCTGTCTCACCCCAATGTCTCGCTTACCGCGATGCCGTCCGTGTGGCAAAAAAGGACTCTATACTACCGATCGTAAACCGGCCATCACTATTTCTAGACGCTGAACTTGAACTACTCCCGGATTCACACGATTCGAAAACCCATTCAGTTAACGGCAATGATCATTTCTTTTTATGGACACAATCTAGTTTCTTTCGATAAATTACATAGCTAAAGCTGGCTAATTGTGTCATAAAACATATGAATGGGGCAAGCATGGGAACCACTGGAAGCTGAGAGCAGCCTGTTCGAGTACTGAAGGTGCAATTCAGGAAAGGCGTCAGGAAACGATCAGCACGGGTTCGGATCCTGTCTGAAGCCGAATTTTCCTCCAAACCGTGCCCAAGTACTATGGATAGCGCAGAAGCGCTTCAGATCTGGATCAGAAGGAAACCAATTCAGCTGTTGTTTGCTAGACACAAGCTCCTTGAAGTTTTTCTTATCAAGTGTCTTCCATAGTCTTACGTTCGGAGGATCCTTCTTCTCTGAACCGGCCATAATAACTACTCTCTTGACGAAGTTCTTCGAGTTTCTTTTGTGGTCTGGTTGTCACATTGTATACACTTCTAGAACTTAACAGGAGCTTTTTTCAGTCTCCCTTTCTTTTTTCAGGGCTCATTCTGTTCGAAGGGCCATATGAAGCCCACCACGAGAATAATCGTGGTGAGCTTCAGGTGGCTGGCCCCGACACCTAAGAGAAGAATAGGAGCACCTTCCAAAAAGGACTGTTCGTTCTTCTAATCGAGGAAGGGCTTCACGGATTTTCCCAAGTCAGCGATATTGTAGGAGCCCTTTCGTTCTGTACTAAGCTGAGATTCGCCAGAAGTCGTGCCTTACAGGCCTTATCTGAAAATCTAATTGAGATAGGTCGTTGTGGCGGTTGCTAGGCCACTTGTCAGCGTCAAACCTAAATTTCCAAAGCCCAAACACTTAAATTCTACATAGCTCTGGGAATAGCTCGTGAGGTCCCGACGTCCTCACAAGCTTTTTCGCCATCACAGCCCAGCTTCGAGACCCATACCTACCAGTTTATAGAAAAAGTATGAAGGTGCTCACTTCGGGAAGCAAAATCGCCAACGAAAGGTTGTTTTATCTGAAGTAATTTAGTTTCTACACTGACAGTTTCAACTAGTTACCATCCCAAAACCAATACTTTTCTTTGTTGCATCTTCTGCTGGGGAGGAAAACAAAGCTTTTTCAAAGTGAATCTATGCCAAGTATGTACACCGAGTATCATACACGAATGAAATTGTCTACCACCAATGTCCCGGAACAGGTCCAATTGAATAAGCCCAGCGAACCAGACAGTAATTATACGTAAGAAAGTTAACCCATTCTGAGGCTTCTAAGCCGAGATTGTTCCCACATGATTTCACTTTTTCTTTAATGCTTGAATCTAATGCATTAAAACCAGTTTGTAACCATTTAGTGAATGATTGAGGTTAAAGGGGTTTTTCCAGTGAAACACCATTCCGTCCGTTTGTCCGTCTACGAAAACGAACCGGCTTGACGTTGAGCTTGCAAATGCCCTAGGGTGACTATGGGGCTAGTCGTCGTGGAATCGGGTTCCAGGTTAGGATGATGAATATCACCTACGAAAAATGCAGCACGATTACACACACCGTCGTCTCACTATTGTGATCGGCACACTCGAAAGATTTCGAGGACATTTTTTCCCGATAGAAACACGAATGAAATCGCTAATTATATGTTTTACCATTTACTCTTGTAGGATTCGATGTATTACTAAAACCCGACATGAAATATCATCTCCGGAAGGTCTTGAAGAAATAATTGAAAAATGGTAGCCACTGGAACCAACATTTACATAAAGGTGAGAACTTTTGTATATTGGAAGTTCTCAGAGAAACACCATTAGGGAAAACCTGGCATTAACGAAAAGTGGGAGGGACCAGGTGGAGCGATTGGCGCTGACTGGAGATTGAACCGTGGATGAACGCCCTAGTGGGGCTTCAATGGGGGATTCAAAACAAGCATCGAAATCTGTAGAGGCCAATTATTATGTAGATTGAATGCACAACTCTCTAAGGGTGTCGAGAACTGTAAACGAGATTTCAGACGAAAGAATTACTTAGCCTTCTTGAAAGGATTCGGGCTCTAGGCTGAGTGTAAAAGGTTAGTCCACGATAGGAGGAAATATATGACAATATTTGCTGATCCAGCTATTCCGTCACACTTGAGGCCTACGATTTTGAGCGAAAGTAAATCTTGTAGAGCACATTTCCCGAGCTAGAGCTAGAGGGTGGAGGTGGTGCTATATCAGGCTGCACGCTACCACTCCCGCAGTTCAAGGATTGACTCGAAGATCTATATCGGCCGGCCCAATAACGTCATCCAACCCAACAGAGCCGATTTGATTTTTATCTGACTTATGTAGTGAAAGAATAGCTCTGAATTGTACATTGGCTCGTCACTGCAAACAGGATAACCCTGGGTTTCCTTGAAAATCAGTTGAACAAAAAGGATCATTACTTCAAATCACTGAATTTCTGTTTAACGGCTATGGGCTCGGATGGTTGTNCCCAATAACGTCATCCAACCCAACAGAGCCGATTTGATTTTTATCTGACTTATGTAGTGAAAGAATAGCTCTGAATTGTACATTGGCTCGCCACTGCGAACGGGACATCCCTGGGTTTCCTTAAAAATCAGTTGAACAAAAAAGAGCGTTACTTCAAATCACTCAATTTCTGTTTAACGGCTATGGGCTCGGATGGTTGTCGTCTTTATGGAGGAACTAACGGAGAACGAACATACGGCAACGTTGTCCCACATTGCTATCAAACACCTGAGCCATATTACTTTTAATTCAGAGGAGGACGAATTACCGCTCAATAACTAATTACATTAATTTATCAAATTTAAGCAAATGGTCGCTACCCCACCGTTTTTTTCATTTCGATTTCTACGTGGAGGCGGGCTTCCATATTGCAATGCCACTCATTTCACATTTCCGCCAATGCACTTCGATGTTTATTGCAAATGTTTGAATATTCCGGTTTCAACGTCGCTAAATCAAATAAATGGAATTCCTTCCGAGTCATTTTGACAACCTACGCCACTCCTCCGGTTAGGTTGAGGATAGGTGAAGGATAATTTATAGGTAAAGAAGGGTAAAGGGATGCGGGTAGCTCCGTTCTGATGCCGTATGTACAATAACGGGTAGTCATCTATTGGGATTACAAAATGCAAAACTCTGGAGGTATGGGGAATCGAACCCCAGACTTCTCGCATGCAAAGCGAGCGCTCTACCCCTGAGCTATACCCCC